CTGCATTCAATTGCTTCGCCAGTATTTGAATTAATATTGACCTTGGCGGTCCCAAGCAACACATATGGTTTTGTTGACAGTGCTGTAGTTAAAACAGCAGCAGCTTCTTCTTGATTGGAGGAAGTGGTCTTCTTGGATACAGCCGCGTTGATGTTGGTGAATTCAGGTGCGCCAGTTGTTGGCGCCTTTACATTGTACTGAAGATGGAGTAATGTGTTGTGCGCTTTATTGCATTTGACGCAATGCCTGCTGTTGCAATCACTTGTTCTATGTCCGCTGCGAAGACAATTGAAACACAATTTCAACCGTTGTGCTGCGGAGACACGATCAGGAACTGATAATGCCAAGAACTTGTCACACTGGTAAATTTGATGGCCATTGAGGTGACACATCTTGCAAGATAGCGTATTGTTTGTAGTTACTGTTGCTGTCACTACTTTGACTGCTGGTTGATTTGGATAGACACTTTCCAATGATTGAAATCGCTTTTCCAGAAATAGCAGAAAATCATCAATTGATTGTAATTCGCGCGGATGCACTAGAGACTGTTCATATAGCAGTCTAGTTTGTTTATCCAATTTTTGAGTTAATACATATAACAATATTGGACCCCAGGAACTGGTGTCAATGCCCAAATTGTTTAATGCCAATAACCCTTCCAGTGTACAGTCATGTATGACCCGAATGTCATTCGCTGCTGAACCCTTCACAGTTGCTTGATCCATGAGTTTCTGGATGATGGACGAAACGATAATTCTTTTATTGTCATACCGTTCCTTCAATATCTGCCATGCTGTTGCATAGTTTTGATTGGTTAGAGCTAGATGTGCTACTAATCCTGCTGCATCTCCAGTTAAATGATTTTTTAAATACCACATCTTCTGTGCGTCTGGCAACTGAGTGTTGTGGATCATTTCTGTGAACAAGTTGTCGAACTCTATCCACTTGGTATATGTTCCGTCAAACTTCGGAATTGTTATGTTAGGTAACCTAACTTGCACCTTTTCCGCAACGAGAGGTGGTTGCTGTTGATTTGATGTCACCTTTGATGTTAGTGACACCAGCACATTTTGAACTTCTTCTTCTAGTTCAATATATTTCTGGATATCATATCCAACTCCTATTGGATTGGAATGTATTTCCCAGATTTTAAAATTAACGGCTTCAATTTCTTGCCATAATTTGTTAATTCTGTCAATATTTACTTGGTAATATGACAGAGGCTGTTGCTCGTATATGCGCTTGACGCCATTGATGAGCCGCAATAATGAACATGATATTGCGCGTTGTTTGTTGATGAGCCCTTGAATCTGTGGATCAGGGCCGCACGCTGGATCATCTGTGTGTCCAACATTAAATCTTGATGTTGATGGAACAGTTACAGGCTCGACTATTTCTTCTTGGTTGAATTGTTGAATGGCCGTTTCAAATTGTCGGCTGTACTGTTTGTAAATATTCAGGATCTCTTGATAATATTCCTTTTTTATGTAGTCGTGTCCGACTGGAATTGAATCAAGACTCTGAATTTTACTGTCGACTTCATCGAAGGACTCCCACGCTGAGTTTAAACGCTTCAGTCGTTCTTCATAGTACGCCTGGGTTTTCCTTGCCTGACCATCCTTCTTGAAGTTTCTTATGATATTCTGGATTTCAGCACCTGTTTCAGCCTGTTGGTTGATAAGGTCCTCCATGGTCACCAGAAAATTGATTGTTGAAATGTTAATACGTGTGTGTCACCAAATGACAACAATGATGCGTGTATGTCCACAAATGACAATACTGCTGCGTGAATGACAATACTGATGCGTGATAGATCACGTGTATGTCCACAAATGACAATACTGATGCGTGATATCACGTGTATGTCCACTGAATGACAACAATGATGCGTGTATGTCCACAAATGACAATACTGCTGCGTGAATGACAATACTGATGCGTGATAGATCACGTGTATGTCCACAAATGACAATACTGATGCGTGATATCACGTGTATGTCCACTGATGCGTGATAAATCACGTCGGGGTCACCAAAAATGTTATGATCCGTACCTAGTTTGATACGGACTGAAGCTAATCCGGCACTTGAACCAGCTTAGCTTTTCACGATATGTTATCCTCCGTATCTAGTCTGACACGGATTCACTAATCCGGCACTTTAACCAGCTTAGTAATTCACTTACGTAATCCGGCACATGAACCAGTTACGTAATTTATAGATATCTAGATATATATGTAAATATATATATAGATATTTATTTGTTTATTTTATTTTTATTATTGATTTTCAAATTCGGCACATAAACCGACTTTGCTCAAGGTTCTTTTAGGCACTTAAACCAAAAGAAAACACTTGGTTGTATTCAGGTTGTTAAATTGAATCAAATGTTTATTAAAAATGTTGTGCTTTTATACAAAATTCTTAACACTAAGCTTATGGTAAAGGAGGAAATGCACCCAGTTCCCACGATTTGTTATCCGATGGACTTTGAACATTCAAGGCCAAGGGCATTCGTGGGAAATATGTGCATTACCTATGCTTATACTATTTAATGCAACCAGCAAGCTGATATATGTATTTTGCCATATATCAACCTGCTTCACAAATTTGGTGACTTAAATGTGTTATCACTGAAGCCATGCGCCAACTCATATTGCACCTGTGGGAACAACAGAATTGTCGCAGCGACTTGCCTATTGCTGCAACTCACAACGAACACACGATAAAAGAAAATGAACATAATTCTTATCAACCTTGCACAGTGGCGTGTGAAGATGATCATGTTACGTCTGGCACGCTGCTAGCGTGCGAATATTTAGTTGTGAGAGCCAGCAACATTGCTAAATATGTTTGATAACACAAATAAACACCAACAACAAAAACAACATAAGAACTAATTTAGGTACTTATGTACACATATAATTAATGCACTAATAAGAATACAATTATAATAATTGACAATAATAATACAATAATAAGAAAACAATTATAATAATTGATACAATGATAATAGATTTAATATGAAACTTAACAGTAATTTTTGCATTTGACCAATCTTGAAATTGTATGGAAATTATTGGTTAGTGCGTAAACAATTTTTGAATAAAACAATAAGACACATACCTTGAGCTATCGTTGGGTGTTCTATTTTGCTGGAACTTTATTTAAAAAAATAAAATAATTTTCTAATTAATAGAATGAAATACACACGTTCACTGGCACAATACATTGCTAAAAAAACAAACGAGAACAAAACAAAATAATGATAAAGAGACCTGTCAAACGAAGAAAGCTTTGTGCAGAAAAGGTGTAGAAGTGGATCGCAACTCAGACAAAAACCACTTCTAAATTGCAGTAGGTACTCAAAGAAATGCAAATTCGCCGTGAAACTATACTTTCGCTCAGTGCGGTACAGAAAAGGAGCTTTAATGTTGGGTCAACAAACTTTAACGTTTTTACAGCTGACACCGTTGACCATGGACGGGATAATTAAATTATTATTATTTGTTAATAATTGGTTAATATTAATATTATTTGTTAAATTTCAAAATTTGTATTTATAAATTGTCAAAACTTAAAAATTGAATTTTATAACCAAATTTAAAACAAAGTAAAAATAAAAAGTACGTATACACTAAAATTTTGTACATAAAGATTATAAATATTTGATAATATCGAAAGTTCAAAAATTTTATTTATAAATTGTGAACACTTAAAAATTGAATTTTACAACCAAATTTAAAACAAAGTAAAAAGTACGTACAAACTAATATTTTGTACATAAAAATTATTTTAAATTAAATTAAACTAATTAAATTATTAAATTTGTTAATACCGAAATTTCAAAATTTGTAATAATAAATTGTGAGAACTTAATAATTAAATTTTACAAGTGGATGTAAAGCAAAGTAAAGAGTACGTATAAATTAAATGTTGTACATAATTATTTATTTGTTAATAAAAATAAATCTAAATAATTTCTTTTCTAACGAACAAATAAATTAAAAGAGAAAAATAAATTAAAAATTGTATTTAAATAAACGCAAACAGATACTTAAACAGATACAGAATTGGTAAAGCACATCTTATGGTATACTAACTTTTCCTGAACGGTACAAATTTAACAGTGGGAATCCAACAGGGCTTCAACAGTATCTGAATCTAGGTTGCAAGGGGTATAACACACGTGTCTATACCATAGTGTCGGAAGCGAAAGGTAACATTAAGAGTAACCTAACGTCTTCGGCCCCTGGACGCTTTAACAGTGAACAGGGACGGGCGTGTTATCTGCGACCTATATATATATATCATAATACATATTTAATAACAAAATAAATTTTATGTAATAAAATAAAACAAAAAAACATGTTTTTAATTTTCTGCATAGAATACCAAAAAAAAAAAAAACATAAAACCGTACAAACAAAGCAAATGCTTTCATCCCTCAAATAATTTGTGTGATACACGTTTGTTTGCATTTTGCGCTCTCACTTCACCTTTTGCTTACGAAGTCTTCGAAGTTTTGCACTACACTTAAACTTCGAAAATTTCGAGAACAAAAATTCATAAAAACTTCGAAGTTTTTTCCAACTTCGAAGCCAACAGCACTCTGCTCACATCAAAAGACAGATAATCAGCTGTCAAATAGAGGGCAACTTTTTCATTTAGTTTGTTAAATAAGTTACATTTAAGTTATGTATATTTATAAATTGCAAGTGATAACATGGCATCAAAAAAATGTACTATTCATTAAAAAAAAATAGAAATTATTAAAGTGTTCGAAAACAAAAAATTGTCTGTACGTGAAATTGCAAAAACGTAAATTTTAGTCCCCATAAAAAATGAAATTTTTTTTGTTTTTAAAGGTTTATTATTGGCAAAAAACAAGCTGCAGAAATTAATAAAAATGAAGACACAATTCGTTCTAGATGAGAGTCTGGACTTAACATTCATCAAAAGCGAAGTTTTCTTAAAGAAGGTGGCTCTGAAATAGACAAAATGTGTTTTGATTGGTTTGCTAAGGCAAGTAGTCAAAAAATTCCTATGTCTGGCTTTATTGTAAAGGCAAAAGCAATCGAAATAGCAATCAAATTAAGTGTATCTTATTATAATGCGTCAGCTCGATGGTTGAATAGATGGCGCTCAAAGAATAATGTTGCTTTCAAGTGCATATCTGGTGAATCTGCAGATGTAAACCAGGAGGATGTCAAGCAGTTTAGGGGAAAGTTGAAATCTCTGTTGAGTAAATACAAGTCCCAGGACATTTACAATGCAGATGAAAGCGAGATTTTCTTTCGCGCATTGCCTAACAAAACTTTCGCTCTTAAATCTGAAAAATGCATTGGCGGTAAATTTTCGAAGGAAAGACTTACAATTTTGTTTTGCGCAAACATGGTGGGAGAAAAAGAGTTCCTTTTGATTATGGTAAAGCAGCTCGCCCTCGATCATTTAAACATGTTTCTATAAGGGATTGCCAGTGATTTGGAAATCTAATAGAAAAGCATGAATGACTCGAGAAGTAATGCATGAATGGCTGCAACAGTTCAATACAAAAAATGAGAGTACAGAATAGAAAAATTGTTTTATTTTTAGATAATGCAGCATCTCATCCAAGGGAATTAAACTTAACTAACATAATTATTGTTTTTTTGCCTCCAAACACAACGACAGCAATCCAACCCCTTGATCAAGGAGTAATCCAAAATTTTAATATTTTCTATAGGATCTTACTTTTAAAACACTTGCTACGTAAAATCGGCGCTACAAGGTCAGCTTCAGAGTTGGCGAAATCTATTAATGTACTTGGAGCTGTTTATTTCCATAAAACATCTTGCGATAAAGTAAAAGCAACAATAATTCAAAAACAGGATTTTCAAAAGTTGATGAAAATTTTTCTGATTTTGATCCCGAAGACGACATTCCACTGGCACTCTATGCTAAATTTCAGGAAGGACTTGATTGAGTAAATGATTTTGACGATTTTCTCAAAATAGACAGAAATGTCTGCACATAAGTGATTCAGAAGAAGAAGCTAATAAAGAAATAAGTGAGCCCATAATATCATACGATGAGGCGTTAACACTTGTTGCACGTTTGAAACAATTTGCCAAAAATGATTTCGTAGTTTTTCAACACATCAAAAATATCGAGAGTCATTTTGAAAATGAACATTTTAAATTAAAACAATCAATGCTTAAGCAATCAATCATTACAAAATTTTTTCAACCAAATTATTATTGATATGCAAAAACTTTTACTATGTAACGTACTTTATCGACACATGTAACAATATGTATGTTTGTATATGTAATATTTATTATTAAATAATAACAAATTTGCACAAAATATTAAATGTTTATATTAAATAAACGACATTTTAATCATAATTTTTTGTAATCTCTCCCATAAGCGGACATCCCCCATAACCGGACAAAAACACTGCGACGGTGAGTGTCCGGTTATGAGAAATTTCATTGTATATACATATTATAGGTTTTCTCAATGCTCTTAAAATACGCGATTGTTTCGGTAATGTCTTCTTTCTTCAAATCTCTTACCGCTCAGCCATTTCTTTAGGTTTGAAAACAGAAAATAGTCTCAGGGGGCTAAATCTGGAGAATATGTTGGATGGGGTAGCAGCTCGTATCCCAATTCGTGGATTTTGGCCATCGTGACTAGACAAGTGTTCAGACGTGCATTGTCTTGATGGAACAGCATTTTCTTTTTCGCCAAATGCGACCGTTTTTGCTTCAAATCAACGTCGAATCTGTTCAAAAGCTTTGAATAATATTCGCCGGTGATCGTTTTACCTCTCTCGAGGTAATCGATGTGAATGGCACCGCTTACATCCCAAAAAACTGTAGCCATGACCTTGTTGGCTGACAGACTCTGTTTGGCCTTCTTTGGTCCACGTTCACCTCTAACAACCCACTGTTTCGATTGTTCTTTGGTCTCTGGCGTGTTGTGATGAATCGATGCGCAAAAATTTGTTCGGTTTACGGCTGAACATCGCTAAACACTCTTTTGAAGTGGTCACACCATTGCGCTTATGGTTGAGTGTCAGCAGTCGCGGCACCCATCTCGCGGAGAGATTTTTCATGTCCAAATATTCGTGTAAAATATATATATCTTTATGCCATCGAATTCATTTTATAATTTATTCATGCAATTTTTGTATTCCTTTAAATATGTATATAATAGTTTCAAATACGCAAGATCGTAAGATCGCCGCAAGACTTAAAAAGTTATATATATTCTTTAATTTTGATATATGTATGTTATAAACATATATCTTAATATTAATTTGGCGTAGTACCACCCTGACGAATGGTTTAGAACTCGTGCTTCTTGAAAAATGCATTGTCTTAAATACTTATACGCTAGAGCTTTTTTATAGCTTGTTGTGTCAGCCTAGATGGTTTTGTTGTAGTATTAGCTGCCCTGCATGGCATGGTGGCAAGCCTGGTATACTCGCTGGTTTTGGGGTGGGATTCTTGGCTACTAGATACTACTGCTGAAAACTAACAAAACAAAAATAATCATACCATGACTTACTTCTATTCATTCAAGGAACTAAAAAAACTATACCTACAATTCAATTCTTAACTACATTCCCTTCATATTTTTTTTCTCCTTTTTTTTGTTTCTTGTGCTATTACTAACTATAACGAATATGTATCTAAAACTTAAAAAACTGAATTTACAATCATAATTCTTATAACTATTTTTTTTTCTTTTTCTTGACAATTCAAAAAAAAACTGCTCTCTAAACTACATTATACTTATATATAAAACCCACATCCTCTATCATTATTTTCTTTCTTTTCTTTTCTTCCTCTTCTTCTTTCTCATCCTGTTTTCCCAGCACACAATTCAAGGTCCTGCATCATCTGTCTCATTTCCATGATAATCTTGTGATGCTCCTCATCACCAATCTGTGGTGTTTGAGCTTCAAGACATTCGTTTGGAGTCGCCATACTCTTTATAATAATCAATATCCAAGTATGTGTGTTAATGGTTATTTTTTTTTTCTTCGCTGTTTCAATATAGCGAAGTCAAGCTAGCTTTACTAGCAGAATCAAAGACAGCTCACATACTATTCAATAATGAACATGTTTTATTATTCAAATTACTAATATTCAATTTCATATTCATCTTATATTAAGCCATTCTGCCTTAATAAAGGTGCTGGCAATATGTTCAATAATGAACATGTTATTTTAAGACAAATGCCAGTTTTCTCTTTAAAATCATAAAAAATTATATTAAAATTAAAATAATGCACAACTGTGCATATTAAACACGCTGGCAGGATGTCCTTAAATTGATAGTTTATTATTCCAAGCCTGTTATAGTTTAAATGCTTAGAATTATATACGAAGGAAAAAACACGGGTAATAAAAAAACCCAAAACTAAAATAGTAACATTGTAGAATATTAAACACATTTTAAAATACATTTTATGATACATGGCACCGTTTCGATAATAAAAATATATTTGTAAAATAATAAAAATTCTACGTGCCGGGATTTTATTGTATACTTTTTTTGTAATGCAATACAGTCGACTCAAACAAGCTATAACAGGTAATAAATATTGTAAATTAGTTAAGTTAGTTTTAAGATTATTTTTGTATAAATACAGCATACTTTGTAAAATTTTTTTTTTTTTTTTTATATAAATGTTTTATATTATATATGATTTTAGATGAATAAATAAAACAAAACAAGACATAAAGCAACTAGTTATTAGATAACTAACAAGCAATTTAAATTTAAATAGATTAGGCGATTCCACGCAATAATAAATTAATTGTACTATATTTCAATGATTTAAGCCCAAAGATCGCACGGCTTTCGGCGCTTTAGACGGCGTATTGGCTCAGTTGTCGCTAGTAAATGCGCCTCAGCATTTATGTGACAACTAAGTCTATCTTGGTGTGATTTGGCTTTGGTATGAATTTCTTCCTGTACTGTTGACACTCCAAGATCACGATGTAAGTCAGAATTTCTCACGTACCATGGCGCGTTTGTTACACTCCGTAGCATGAAATTTTGGAATCTTTGGATGATGGAAATTTGTGTTCTGCTTGCGCAATCCCATAGCTGTATTCCATATGTCCAGATTGGCTGGAGCATTTGTTTGTATAATACAAGTTTATTGAAAAGCGATAGTTTTGATTTTTTGCCGATTAACCATTTCAACGATTTGAATTTAAGATCTAATTCACTTCTTTTCTTTTTTATGTGTTCGCTCCATCTTAGTTTAGCGTCCAAAGTCATACCCAAGTATTTCGCAGTATTCGCGTGAGGGATTTGTGCTTCATCGATGTAGACAGGTATATGACTGATGTTTCGATTTGTGAAATTTACATGCACTGATTTTTCTTTATTCAGATTAATTTTCCATTTTTTTGTCCAAGCAATTATACTGTCCATACTATTTTGCAAATTATTAGCTGCTATTACTGCGCTTTCTCCAACTGCAAGGACTGCAGTATCATCAGCAAAAGTTGCTGTGAACGTTGTTGCACTCGTTGGCAAGTCGTGTGTATAAATCAGATATAAGAGAGGACCCAAGACACTACCTTGCGGAACTCCAGCGTTAATTTTATGCAGTTTACTATAGGTATCACCGTGCTTTACTCGAAAGTAACGATCAGATAAGTAAGAGGAGATTATGTCATAATACTCCGTTGGGAGAATATTTTTTACTTTGGTAAGCAATCCGGAGTGCCAGAATTTATCGAAAGCCTGCGACACATCTAAAAACACAGCTGAGCAGATTTTTTTTTCCTCAAGAGCTTTTTCTACTACATTGGTAATCCTATGGACTTGATCTATGGTGGAGTGATTGCACCTAAAACCAAACTGATGTAAAGGTATTATGTTTTGACTTTCAATCAGAGGAAGGATTCTTTTCAGTAAGACTTTTTCAAATATTTTTGAAAGTACAGGCAGAAGTGCTATTGGTCTGTAACCACTTACGTCATTAATATCCTTTCCTGGCTTATGTACCATGATAATTTCAGATACTTTCCACAGGGATGGAAGGGTTCGCATCTGTATTATAGCGTTAAATATATTCGTAATTTTAACTAGGCATTTTGCAGGAATTTCTTTTAAAACTTCAGCACTTATCAATTCATAACCTGGGGTTTTTTTTAGCTTAAGTTCATTTTTAATAATCATCATTACCTCAAGCTCGGTGGTTGGTGGAATACATGATGAATGTGCTGTCCTAGGAGGGCAGATTACTGCATTGTTAACGTTTTCGTCTATGGAAAACACTTTTGACAAGTGTTCGGAAAAGACCTCCACTTTTTCCTCATCGCTTTTAGCCCATTGATTAGCGTGATTTTTAATTGGAGCCTTGTGTACTAAAGGTCGCTTAAGGTTTCGTGTGCATTTCCAGAGAGAATAGTTGGTAGCACGATCATTACTTAAGTTAGATAGGTAGTAGTTGAATTGATTATTTTTAAATTGCTTGATTTTTAGGCTGAGTTCTTTTGCAAGTCTGTTAAGAATGGCTTTGTCTGCTGGAAATCTGGATTGCTGCCACTTTTTCCGCATCTTTCTTTTTTCCCGCATAAGATCCACAATGACTTTTGGGTATTTATGAGGATAGGTTGCATTCCTTAATGTGGGCGTGCTGCACCATGCCGCATGTTGTAGTAAATTTAAAATAGAAATTTGTAAGGTTCAAAATTTCGCTTTCAAGATCATTTTCTTCACAAATTTCTTTTGAAGCAATGGTGTTTTCATTAAGGATTCTTCTGAAGTAACTCCAATCTGTATATTTATTTTCAAGTTTTAGACATTTTTTATTTATTAAGGCAGATTCGAAGAGGGTTATGTAGAGAGGGGAATGGTCGGAGCTTAGTTCTACTCCATCTGTCATTTTTAAATTGTAGGACGAAATTTGCTTGGTTATAAAGAAATCGAGTAGATCAGGCACCTTTG